TGCCATGACCCATCACCCTGAAAAAACAAAATATCAGTACATCCTTTGAGCAATAAAATTGGTACAATTACTTACAATTAATGAAAGGGCATGAAGATGCTATATTTTAAAGGATTACAGAAATCCATGTGAGTATGAAAGATTTTTCAGCATGGCCATTTGAACCAGTTGAATGGTATAAGTATGGGAAAAGAAACTAAAGAAAGAGACCAGACTATACCTCGCCTGGTGAAAACAGCTCCAACACAGATGACAGGACCTCCTCTGAAAGGGCAGATGTAAGACATGATGTAATGCGGCCTATGCCTTTTGCAGCAGACCAACGCACAACCGTGTCCTGCATAAAATGCTATTAACAACAAGTACATACCATATGACTTTTGGAAAGATAAATTCAAATAAAGTAAAATAAAAATATCCAAAAATAGGATGAATCACTACCAACTTATGTTGCTCTGTGGTGCAATCTATATCCATGCAATGAAGCTCTCGTTTTTAGTTTTATAGGAGATTAACTTTTGGAAGAGTTCGACCCAAAAAGAAAACTTGTGCGAGAAGCTGAAAGAAAGGCTTACTGGAATTCATGTAAAAAATAGTGGACTCGCATCTCAAAAGAATCAGGAGACATGATGACCATTTCATTCCTCAAGGACCACCAACTATTTTGCGCATTGAACCTCATGGATCAATGAAAAAGGTGGTGGAGAGGATAAACCAGTGAACTAAATAGAACTGTTCCTGAGTATTTACCACAGACACTTATTATTCCCCATTTCCAAGGTAATTTAGGAGGATTTCATCTAATTGATGGGACTTTTTGTAAGTGTTCTTTCTCATTCCAACATTGAAAGCCTCAGCCAAATCATCCACATCTTGGAAATCAGACTTTTAGTTAGTTTTCTTTATCTTGCAAGTATAACTAATAAAGTTTTCTTTATCTTGCAAGTATAACTAATAATCCTTTAGGTTCGTCTGTATAGTAATTGTTAAGAACGAACTCACTTATGAGGAGAATCATTTCAAAGCTGTTATGCAGATGCTTGGCTTTTCAAGTTCACAACAAACAGTTTGGTTAAAATGCAAGATCAAAATGTCTGCAGATAAGCAGAATATTGAGGAATGATGGCATCTCCAAAGGTTACTATATCAGAAATCCAGCAATGTTCCCAACCAATAAAATTCTAAAGAAAGATCAAGTAAATGACCAAGATGGGACCAACAAAAAAAAGAGATCCATATTGTCATTGAAACTTTAACAGCAGGAGTTACTAACTTCAAAGTAATCAAGTTTTCATGGAATCTCACACCTTTAAACATACCGTGTCTCTCAACCCAGTAAGTAGCATCTCAATAATCTCTTCTACGACTTCTGGAACATCCATTTCTTCATCTTGCTGGCAGCTTGAACTTGGTTCGGAGTTGGAAACCTCATCATCTAAAGCATAATTGTATCGACCAGTTTTTTCAGATGCAGACAAAGTTACGTTCTCTCCCAAAGAGCTTGTTTTCCCCTGCATCAACAGTACATGATTAAGGCAAGAGAGCCATCAGAGAAAAAACGAAATTATCCAAGACATATCAGGGCTTTTTTTTACAAAAGTCAGTAATCCATTGTGTGGTCATTTGTAAAATGCAAAGAATTGCTTAATGTGCAGCCCCATTCAAAAATCTTATGCTTCTAGATGCAGAATCACATCTGGTATTTGAATTCTGAAGTACTCTAATCATTTAACAGGAGCATAAAAATTTGAAAAGAAAGATACTAAAAGGTGGGACATATTTGGAACTCAACAGGAAATACATACCATTTGTAATGAAATACAAGTGTAATAGATTAAGTTTCTTAAACATTGACAGAAACAACTTATTATTTATAAAACTAAGTTCAAAATAAGGAAAGAATAAAAAATTTAGTATTTCTAACCACATAGCACCATGAAGGTGTACGATGAGGGAGGCAAATAAGCCCAATCCTCTGTGTTAATTTCATCAGATGCTTGCGCAGTAATGGGCTCCTAGCGGCAATGCTAGACTTGATCAACAATAAGGTGTCAACCCAAACAATAGTAACCACATCAAGCAAGAGTTTCCGCCCACCAACCTGTCTATTGAAGATAGTATATAAGATACTGAAATATTATAAACTGAGCAAAATAAATGACAACCTTTCTAGAAAAATAGATTTCTGCTGTACGTAGATTTGTAGCATCCATAAAAGTTTAAAACAATCTCCATAACTTAATAATATACAGTTTTGTTTTTATATTAAAAAACATGTAAATTGAAGTATGTGTATCAGAAGTTAAAGGGATATTTTATGCCTCAAAGTGGAAATGAATGAACATATTTAATCTTAAAACCAAGTAGGTCGAACAGTTTTTAATATATAATATCGTTACTAGTTACTACTTTATCATTATATCAAGCATAGTTTTAGAATGTGAGCTTTAGGCCTCGTTTGTCATCATAATCTCGTATGAACAACAAAGAAGTAAAAGCAGACCTTGAAAATAGCAGCCAGTGCTTCTGTAGCTCCAAGTAACCGGAAATGATTGATGGCATCATTTTTCAGAGAAGATAGGACTTCGTGTGACCATTGAACAAAGCTGAAGAAGAATATGTATAAGAAATAGGTAAGCAAGGGCAGCAATAAAAGTTGTCTAGAATTACAGCATACTAGCTAAGATAGAAATAATGACAGAACATGCACATAAGCATGTGTGGGTAATGTACAAGCACTTAAGGTTGGGTATTTCATATCAAATTTATCACCCATTCTAAGACATTGGGTGAAAATCTGACGGTTCAAACAGCAAGGTCTTAGAGCATGTAAGGAGAGATAAGTTACTTGACGTTGAGTGTTCGTACTATCTTCTATTCAAAATATCAACCATAAAACCAATACTAAATTTTAAGTGTTTCCAAAAAAAAAAAAGGGAAGAACTTATTGTGGTGCAGAAACAAAAACAAGAGAGGATTAACTCATATTCTCTTGGCTAGAAGGTTAAATTCCATGAGGGTGTAATCACAGCTTGCTCTCAGCTGGAATTTCAATCAATTTTTTTCACATAAACATGCAATGCTAAAGTAGGCAGTTGGTATGCACCAGTTATGACCTATGTACTTGATGAAAGAAACCTGGAAAAGGCCCTTGGCATGTCTGGACGTGTTAGAAGCTTCGAGAGCAGCAAAGCAGCAATAGGGCGCATAGGGCCTGAATTTGAAAGGTAATCTTCGGAGAGCCCTACTATCCTCAATACCAGTGGAGCTGGCTCAAGTTTTCCAAGATTACTGTTGTTTGCAATGCTAGTATCAACAGTGGAGATATCAAACGGAACCAACACGAGTATAGACAGCCACAAAAGCATCACACATTTAGCTTCCATCTCTCCTGTACTTTCCTGCCGCAGTGATGACACTGAATTTGTGTGATGGCACTTCTCCAAAAGAGACACAGCAAGTTCCAAGTCCGAAACTTGATGCGGAAAGAACCTGACAACCGCCTTGTATCCACAAACGGTGACGAGAGAATAAATAATAAGGCATATGGGTTTAATTACTTCAAGAATTTCATCTGAAGCTACACCTAATTCTACTGTTTTAGAGCGAACAATAAACATGAGCGGGGTAACGATGCTTTCCAGGTAAGGTTCAACTAGTTGACCCTGTTCTTGATACTTGTCCATCTGCATACAAATAAGGAACAAATAGCAAATTTTCAGTACAGAACAAAAACATTTTCACCAATCGAGTAATGCCTTGAAAGACAAACAAGAAACCAACTTGGAGCAGTGCAATCACTAGCTCACCTCTGAAATGATCGAAACGGACCCAATCAGAAAAGCCTACTCCTAAATACAATAACTTGGATGCATCCCACAAATCCAAAACCAAAACCAATTCATTTTACAGTAAGCTAAAATGGTGTCTTGATCAAAAACTTAAAAAGCAAACTAATTTCATATCATATTCACTTAAAAATGTCTCCAATCACAATGTAATTAACGAAAAATGGTATTATTGGTCTAATAATAGTAATTCCAAATGGGTTCTAACAAAAAATTCAATCTTGCAAAATGCAGAGAATATCAAAAGTGATGGAAGTGAGCGTTACAATGGATCGGATCTTGTGGGGAGCGGAGGGATCGGACACCCGCCCATTTGAGACGATGTCGTTTAAGATGGACTTGACGAGCTTCCATTCTTGAAGGAAGTACTTTTGGAGCACTGCCTCCTTGGCGCCATGCTCGTCGTCATCGTCTTCTTTACCCATTGCAAGTTCCTGCTTCTGCTTTGGGTTTTCTTCCGCCACCATGGCTGCCATTTTTGGAGATGTTCCACTTCCCGCCTTTGTTAGCTTAATCGTTGAGAAGGGTGTGCAAGGTTTATCTGTTCTCCAAACACTTGTTTATAATTCAATTTTGGGCTAATTGCATATTACATCACATGATTTTCGAGTCATTTGCAAAATGAATCATGAAGTTTTTATTTCCGTATATTACACAACGTATTTTTTTAACTGCACCAACTTAACACCTTTGTTAATATCACTGTTGGTTAATGTCCCATTATTTGTTATTAAACCGTTATCTTGTATTTTCGGCTAAGATGTATCAGTTTTCTCGAATATGCGACAATTGGGCCTCAACAATAGAGAATTTTTGGGACCTTAACTTGTTTAATTACCGGTACTCCCAACTAAGTGTTAGACATGACTTAAGAGGCGTTGAGCGCTTTAATGAAACTTTCATGTACCCAAAATGACCTTAAGCAACTAAAACTTCACACAGAGGTTCAGAGATTTACCCAGATGTCGATTAGGAATGAATTGGTCTTTGATTAGTTGTAATGGCACCGGTGATGCTTCGTTGGTTTCTGGGCAGAAAATACAAAGCATGCATTAGCTCTAGTCCTTCAAATTTAACCTCAAACTTCACAGATAAAGTCAAGAGAGTTACCCAGAGTTAAGATTTGGCGATTGGCTTGAGTTCGCCGGAAAAATGACCAAGAAGGTCACCAGATTTCTGGGCTTGAACATAGAGATGGCATTTGGGGTTAAATCCCAAGAATTTCATGCCAAAATTCGATATGCATGATACATAAGTTGTACCTGAGATTAAATGAAGGTTGAATTCAGTTTGAAGCACCCCAATTTCATCGACCCTCAAGTCAACTCGTCGAAGAGTTTTTCACCTAAAGGGAAGGGTTGGCTTTCTTCATTTTTGAGTACTTGATCTTCACATGCAACGCCACCATTCGATTCCATAGGTCAAATTACACCTAAAACAGGGAATATTGGTATGGATTTCACTTGAAAATTGGCGTTGGTGTAGGTGATTCTCTCGGTAATTAGAGAGAGTGAGAGTATCATAGTTAGATAAAGAGATAGAGAGAAAGGAGAGTCTCACGGGAAAAAGGGAAGAACGAGAGAAGAAGAGGGAGACCAAATAAACTCCCCTCAAGGCACACTAAATAAGACCAAACCCTTTTTGGTCATTTCATACAATCACAACTGTTTTACATAAAAGTTTACCAAACACTATAATACTGTTTTTTTTTTCTTTTCCAAAATCACTTTTACAAAAAAGTTTACCAAACACTCTATTGCTTTATTTCACAGCTGCTTATTCTCATAGTACATCAAAGCAGTTTTTTTTTCAAAGCACAACAATACCAAACCAACCCTTAGAAAAGAGGTTTGTGCAGAAGCTGAAAAGCTAGTTTTTCAAAGCTGCCTTTTGCTGCTTCTGTTTTTTGGCTTTTTTTTTCATCCAAAACTATGAAAAAAGGCTGAAGTTGGAAGTTTACCAAACACAAAAATACTCTCTACTTTTTTCAAAATCACATCAATACCAAACCACACCTTATACTGGCACCATCAATTGTTCAAATATTCCCTCTTCTACGACAAAATGAAAAGGAAAAAAAAAGAAAAAAAAAATCTCCCCTCCTTTGATCTTCTTTGTACTCCAAGGAAAAGATCCATCAATGAAAATACTAACATAGCGTCGACATTCAGAAGCTAATGACCATTTGACTTGGTCACACAAAAGTTTCTCAATGCAATTATTGATCATGGCCTGTTGATAATAAGAAAAGAGAAGTATTGTCCCACATTATATTTGTTCAAGCCCGTGCAGAGAAAGGCCACTTTCTTATTGATTTTCTCATGGGCGGTGTCTCCGCTGCCGTATCTAAAACTGTTGCTGCCCCAATTGAGCGTGTCAAGCTGTTGATTCAAAACCAGGATGAGATGATCAAAACTGGTCGTTTGTCTCAACCTTACAAGGGCATTGGTGAGTGCTTTAGCCATACAATCAAGGAAGAGGGTTTTGGTTCATTGTGGAGAGGGAACACTGCCAATGTTATCCATTACTTCCCCACTCACGTTAGTGATGTTATTGTTCTACTAAATGTTCCCTTGCTAAAACAAAAATTTTGATGTGTGCTTGTACTAAAATTGTTACCTGGATTTGTTGTAGGCCTTGAACTTTGCATTCAAGGATTACTTCAAGAGGCTGTTCAACTTCAAGAAAGACAGGGATGGTTACTGGAAATGTTTTGCTGGTAACTTGGCTTCAGGAGGTGCTGTTGGTGCTTCTTATCTTCTCTTTGCCTACTATTTGGATTATGCTCGTACTCGTTTGGCCAATGATGCCAAAGCTGCAAAGAAGGGAGGAGAAAGACAATTCAATGGTCTGATTGATGTCTACAAGAAGACACTGAAATCTGATGGAATTGCTGGTCTTTACCGTGGATTCAATATCTCTTGTGTTGGAATCATTGTCTACCATGATCTCTACTTTGGACTCTATGATTCACTGAAGCCTGTTGTCCTTACTGGAGGTTTGCAGGTTAGTTTATTTCTTTCATTTCTTTATTCACTACCTTTTTGTTCATGCTTGTATATTCTTTCGATGGTGTGCTTACGTTAGTTGCTAGCTCAACTTTGTTATTTTTTTACGTACTATATAATCACTTGTATGCATGCATATTGTTATGACATATAATGTTTCTTATGTCATTCATTTCCCTTCTTAAACTTGTGAGAAGGGACTAAAATAATTTTGCAAAAAGTTGTATGATGCAGCCATTCTTCTGTTTATTATTTTTGGCTTCGTTTTATTGTAATGCTTCCTTTGTGAAGAACGCTATGCGAAGCAATTACAAAGAATTGGATGAAGTTGGTTCTTAAGTAATGATAGGCCCCAATGTTCTAATCTGTTGCCCGCAGTCATCGTCTATTATTAGTTGATCGTTACAAGAACTTGTTTTTGTTTCCTTTCAAGTGTTTGGGCTTATTGGCCTGTTGATCTGCAGTATGAATATGGTGACACGCTGCTGTTATATTTGGAAAACTACAGGACAGTTTCTTCGCTAGCTTTGCCCTCGGTTGGCTCATCACCAATGGTGCAGGTCTTGCTTCCTACCCAATTGACACTGTCCGCAGAAGAATGATGATGACCTCCGGTGAAGCCGTCAAGTACAGGAGTTCCCTGGATGCCTTCCAACAAATCTTGAAGAACGAGGGTGCCAACTCTCTCTTCAAGGGTGCTGGTGCTAACATCCTCCGTGCCATTGCTGGTGCTGGTGTCCTGTCTGGTTATGACAAGCTACAGCTGCTTGTCTTCGGCAAGAAGTACGGATCTAGTTATTTATGTCTCTTTCTGTTTTTGGTTTTTCCAGTTTGTGAATTCATGCTTGCATCATTTTTCCTTCAATGACGTCAAATAATTATGGTCAAATCAAATGTTCGTCTCTGAAATTTACGTATTGTTAAAAATCGAAGGAAAATTAATGAATTTTTAATTGAGGGATCATTGCTCCAATTTGATTAAAGTTGAAGGACTATTGTTACAATTTACTCATTGAAAAAAGTTGTTCGCTAAAGTCATATGTTGAATATGGTAGTGGGAAATGGATCATCCCCAGATCCCTTCTACCAAATCCACCTATCCGGACCCTTGAAATTTGATTCAACGACTAAAGTTATTATAACTTTTAAGGGAATCCCTATTTTTAGCCGTTAGATTAAATTTCAAAAGCTCAGATTAATAGATTTGGTGAATTTGGTGAAAGAGATCCGAAGATGATCTCTTTCCATGGTAGTGAACACCTGAAGCTGAAAATAACATTTTAAGAAGGGAACTTTAATGAAAAGCACCCGGTACTGTTCACTTTAAGGAAAAACCACATTTTTACACTAAAAAGTCAATCCTAGTACTATTCACTTTACCATTTATTTTGTCCTTATCATTAAAACTCAAAGTTTTCAAACCCTTTTCATTAGTTTTCCTTTTTAAGAATCCTAAAAACTTGCTTTTTGAAAGTTATTACTCAAAAGCGATTCTCTTAATCAGTTTTCTTATTATCTATTATTTCTGAAACAATGTAGGGAGAAAGGGATAGTCTTCGTATTGGTTTGATACTAAGGTGCTTTTATAAAAAGTGGGTATAAAAAAACTGAGTTTAAATATGCGTTTGGTAAACATTTAAAAACACCTTATTTTCACAATTTTGGATGAAAATAAGCTAAAAACGTGAAGCAACAAAAAATGAGCTTATTCTCATAGCACAGCAGAAGCAGTTTTTTTTCAAAGCACAGTAATACCAAACCAGTCCTTCATCAATGGAATGGAAGCAGTTTTGAAATTAAATTTAGAAGTCTTATTCTTGAAACATTGTAGTTCATGAACCCCAAGGGGTTGGCCTAGTAAAGCGGTTTGAAACTCCTAATTCAAGTTTGAACTCCTGTGGATGCACTTTTTAGGGTCATCGATTCTGTTTTAGTGTACCATTTGCTTGGAGGCCAAAAGTACGTTTTTAGCCTCATGTGACATCAAAATTATATGAAGAAGAGGATTAGTCTTATCATTTGTATGTGGTGACCGGTGACATACTCTTATATTAAAAAAAAAATAATGTTGTTCATGATCTTTGTGAGCCTCAAGTGGTTTAATTTTACCATTGTAATTTTTGACCAAAAAATGAAAGTACCCACTGATTCGCTTGTTTCCGTTGGGGCAATGATCTTACTTCTTGGTCCTTGTTGCCACTTATTTGCAAGCACATATGTATTGTGATCTCAATCATCGCATCAGTGTTCCGTTGACTGCGAGTCTAACCATCCATTGCTCTGGTGTAGTGTCGGAACATAGTAAATTTGTTGTGCTTGCTTGTAGAAACTCAATACACTAGCCAAAGATGAAAGGCCAAAATTGATGTCACGTTTAGTGCTGTCCAAAATGGTGATGTCATTGCTTATCAGTTGATCTTGGTTGATTTCTGAATTCCAATTATGATACAGTGAATGTCTACTTTTGTATATGTGAATGACAAATCAATCGTACGAAACTGAAATGGAAGATTTTGGTTCACGTGTTTGGAAATGTTGTGAAAACTATTTCTCATCGCATGGAATAGCATACCATGGTACTAAGGGTTTTAGCTTTCCCCCCTTCCTCCAAAAATACCATGTAACAAGTATTTTGTCCTTAAAAAGCCCATGTAGGAGATCACAATCGAATTGGGCAACTTTGATCTATATTTGGATTCATTTATAATCGATTTATCGCATTTATTAAATTTGACTGGTCGGTTCATATCCAATAAGTATTGAATCAGATCAAATTGAATTTTTGTCGGATCTAATTTATGATTTAAAAATGATTATAATATCGTTACTAACATCATTCTTTTATTATATGTATCCATAGTTAATTAGAACTTTTCATTTTGTACAAACATAAAGTAGTGAATAAGTGTATTTTGAATGCTTACTAAACATGGTAAAACAATATCATACTCATTCTTAAACTTCTAATACTCGAACCAAAGAGATCTTAATTAAATATATGGGTGAAGGATTTAGGCGAAATTAAGTAGAAAAGTATCACAAAACATTAGATTAAGAGATTGAAAAATCACTACATGAATGTCATAAGACCGCGAAATAAAGGATTTTTAATGATTCATTTTAAATAGTCATATACAAATCTCTCTGTGCATTACATCGAAGTCATTTTAAATACATTTATCAAATGTTTTATCGCGCGCATTGTAGTAGCTAAATTCAGCAGTCTTCGGTCTTGACGAAATTGTAACTATAAAACAAAATAACATCTTTGACCAAGTTAGTTTTTCTGAAAAGATTCAGTGTTTATGGCTTTCTAGACTTATATGCGTAGCAAAAAGTTTATCAGAATTTGGTGGAGATGAGACATTTATAGGGAGGCGGCCAACCTAGTTGTAGGACTTTGCCTTATACATGGCGGCTTCCCATTGACCAAAGTGAGTCATCTGTAGAATAGATAAGATAAGAATATTCTCAAGATATTTATTAAGAGATAATATCTTGAATGTGATGAAGATTCTTAACTTGTTTGAATTGATATTCAACTAAAAAGAGTATTAAAAATAAATTTTGACAATTAATCATATCCTTAATGTTTTTGACTTCTCTTCCTAGCGACGATGAGCAGAAAGAGCTTAGAAGTATATCATTCACGTCTCCCAAATTTGTAGAATTCTTTTTAGCTACACACAATCACACATCTTACTAGTGTGTTTCATAAAACACTCTCAGATCTCTCGTCCTTTTACGTATAATCTTGACCAGCTTTTTTGTTGGAAGCCCCATGAATAACTTGCTTGTAGTACAAGGCCCTATGTGCTAGTATGGTCCCATCCATAGAACTCTAACCACAACCAGCATTTGATCGTATTTATATATCCACATTCAATGGCCTTTATGACCCCCCGAAAGACCAACTTATTTAATTCCATTAATATAGCTCTAGGGAACAACGGTTCTCTTCTTTTTATTTCATGGTCCCAACTGCTGCCTGCCGTATACATGTTTGAATTTAAAAGAGAGAAAGAAGGTTGAATGTCACATTACCCTTGTGGCCTATAGGTTCCAAATTTCAAAGTTGAAGTGAACTAATTTGAAAGGAAATGGAAGCATAGGTAGGTGAATTAGTTTTCAATCCCCAAGAGGCTTTGCAAAAATTAATATTCAGAGCAAAATTGACAGCTCCTTACAAATTTAGAGGAAAAAATCGGTGACTATCTCATTAATATTTGTAATTAAATTAACTGTATTCTCTCAAAAGGCATAGAGAGACCAATAATACCTTCTTCCTCCATCTCCCATGCTATCTAGATTGGTTTCTTCGTCTTCAGCCCCTACCACCCTCCACCAAGTTCTCTCCTCTGTCAATACCATCCTTCATCCCTCCTCCAACTGTCGACTCCACATCGTAGTGGCGTCAGTGGTTAAGTGGCCTGGCAATTGAGGTCGCGCTCGGCCTGAGTGCGGAGGACGAGTTTGGTGCAACCTTGGACTTGAAGCTTGCAGACAGTGACTAATCCGACGATTTACGAGCGATGTTTTACACTAATTTATACTACGTGGAGGAGGGATGATTTGAATTCTGAACATAGTGAATTGAAGAGAAAAACCCTTATCATCAAAACAATCCCTCACTTAAATGCGCATATTAGTTATGCTTCAAAATTGGCACCTTTCTCAATGTCTCTACAAAGTGCCCTAGTTAATAAAGGTTTTCAAAACTTAATGTACATTGTAGTCTTTCCAACTTCCGGAAAATGTGGATAAATGTGGCTTGACACCAATTGTCCCACTTTAAAAAAAAAAAATTAAAAATGTACATTGTGAGTACATTTACAAAGTCTCAACTAGGTTTACCAATTAAGATGGTTGGCCTAACATAGGATTAAACATCTGGACTAATTAAATCATGTTTTTCATTGTTACTCTGTTAGGTTTTTATATATTGTTTTCATGGTAGGGCCCCGGGCCCGAGGGCCAAGGTCTTTTGTGCGGTTTACAAGAGCAATTTATATAAAATAAATACATCATATTCTGACGTTTCAATTAACATACATTGTCAGGTAGAGAAAAACTTACTCATAATAATGCAAATCAAATCAATGTCTTTCTCTCAATTTATGAGTAATGTGCCCTGAGCCATGTGCTCTGAGCCATGTGATGGGATTAGTACGATTAATTAGTTGTCGTAACTTTTTATAAGGATTGATTATCCTATAAAATGCAAATAAAAATAATACATGTTTTGTGTAAATTCATTCGTTGTAAGCAATCATGTGATCCTTTCCTCCTAATCCATCAAGTTCAGAGATTCGGTCATTGAAATTTGATCCAACGACTAAAATTATTATAACTTTTAAAGTGAGCCCCTGTTTGTAGCCGTTTGATCAAATTTCAATAGTCCGGATTCCTGAACTTGGTGGATTAGAAGGAAGGGATCCCGAGAGGATCCATTTCCAGTAATCATACCCTAAGTACCGTGCATTAGGATTGAATTACTATATATAATGCGATGCTAGTACTTGTCCTACACACCTAACGAGACCAATTCTTGAATCGGAATCTTAGTTAAAAGAGAAATGTTAAGGAGACTCTCTAAAAAATGGGACTATTCATACTCTTTGCCAGCTCATGTTTTTGGCATGACGTTTTATAATGTTAGCAAGAGAATTATGCTAAAAATATAATGTGTTGGAGAGTCCGTTGAAAGTTTCACTTTTGAGAAAGTCTTCTTAGCATTTCTCCAGTTAAAAACCTTCCTTATAGTTCTTCCATTGTGATTTTGCATAAGATTCTTTCATTGGTTGAATCATTGACTTACTCAAAGTTAAAATATGTTGCTCCATTTTTATATACGTGCTAGAACAGCCACTCTCCAATGGTTCAAAGGGCTAGATTATTTTCTATTGCGTAAAAACAAAGCTTTCAATGGCATATATATATACTGAAATACATAATAAAGTTTGTAATGACCACTAAAGGCATCATTCAAAGGTGTAAAATTGACTTATGGAATTTTTTTTTATTATACATAGATAATATTTATACCGAGTGAGTGGGAGATGAGGCTAAACTACACAATAAGCTAGTCATAATCTAATGTGTCACATTTGCTGGTGGAAATTTATACTATAAGTCTATAATGCTTCTTGCTCTACAAAGCTTTCAAATAGTGGGCTTTTCATTAGGGGTGAGCGACAATCGGTTTGATTTGATTTGATATTAAAATTATAACCAAATTAACTAACATTCAACGATTTGGTTTCATTTAGTTTTGATCAATAGCACCATTGAAACGGAACCAAACCATTGTTAATCGGTTTAGTTTGGTTTGGTTTGGTCGGTTTAAGCCTATTGCCCACACATCAATAAGAAATGTCCAACATTTTGATACATCTCACACATGTCAATTGGATAGTTTTAGAACATAAAGATTTAATCAAGTCAACTAGGACTAATTAAGTTTCAATTATATATAATCTCATATTAGCAAACATTTTATTAGTTACAATCTCACATAATCCTAAAATACAAACAAATCTTCTATTGGTTAATAGTCATTAATTACAACTTATAATATGTTAACACTTATTGTATATGTAAAATTAGACATCCAAAGAACCTATATAATATGTTGACATATGTAAAATAAATAAAGTTATAATTAAAAGATATATTATCGTTTCCTGTTTAGTTTTGGTCAGTTTCAAAAGTATCAAAACCGAACCAAACTAACATAAAATTAGTTCGTTTTAGTTTTGGTCGGTTTTAAAAGTATCAAAACCGAACCAAACTAACATAAAATCAGTTTGGTTCGGTTTTGAAATTGTTTGACTTTTTTCTTGATCAAAACCAAACCAAACCGACCATATTAGTCGGTTTGGATGGTTTGGTCGATTTGATGCTCACCCCTACTTTTCATACTTATTTTGTTCTATACTGAGAAATTATCACTATTAATTTCATCTGCTATATTCATTTTCTTTTACTTGAAGGCACTATTTGTGGTCTTTTTTATGAATTGTCACCCTCAACAAAAAACACTGTGACACTCTATACTATAGAGTGATATAATAGTTTTACAATCCAAATAATCTTATGCCTTATTACCAACAACTCAAAATAGATTCATCACCACGTGAATAAATCAATATCCTAACCAACTCACTACTATGATAAGAGAGACAGGCATCGGTCCACCACTAATTCTATCGATATTGTTCCTACTTAATCGCCTGTGTAATCAATAGGTCTGAGACTTTTACGTAAAAGAGCTCTAGGAAATTAGAAATAAATCGATTTGATATAAGTTGTGTTTTATTTTGTGAAATGGCCAAAGTGAGACATTTTGCTTTAATTAACAACACAAAACCAGTTCACCGTCACGTAGCATCTCAGTTTAATTATGCATTGTCTTGTGCAAATTTCTCTGATTATATGAATGCATTATTGAAACATTGTCAAACAATCCATTATTGAACTAAAACGCTGGATGACAGTGAACTCGTTTTGACATGTTTCGCTCCCAACAACCCTAGAAAACAAGGGTCGTTAACCAAAATTTACCTTTGTTTATGATCTAATGTTGTTTGGAAGGAGACACTTTTTGATATTAATTAACCTTATCCTGTTGCACTTTATAAGGCTATTTGCGAAATAGGGACCAAACAACTTTTTCTTTTAGGTGAACAAATTGTAGGGATAAAAAACCTTGAAGATCTTTTTACACTGCAGACCTGATCTGAGATGTACGGCAAAGATTCAACAGAGTAAAGCAAGAGACAGATCTTCTGGTAAGTGCGGCGGCCCCCCCACCCCGACTGATCTCACCGGCGGTAAAAACGGCTTTTACCCCTCTGCCCAGCCTTGACTCAATCGCTCAATGCCAAGGCATCCATGCATCCATGCATCCATGCATCCATGCATCCATCCATCCATAGATCACATGTCCCAAATATACTAGTATTAATTACATAAAGTGAAATGGTGTAGCATGGAGTAGACTCAGAGACGGGATTGTTGTTGTAATGTTTTTTTGGTAAGAAGTTGGCGTGGTAGAAACAACAAAACAAAACACACAACTCAGAAAGCCTCTCTCTCTCTCCTCTCTCTCTCTCTGTATATGTGAAGTGCAAAGAAATTCAGGGGAAGAAACTTTGAACTTGAAAAGAAAGAAGGCTGCAATTTATCTCACTTGTCCTCCGGGCTGCTTGTTCGGTCTCTCAGATTTTTTGCATTACAGCGACATGTGAAGGGATTTCTGGCTTAATATCAAGGTACTGCTTCTTTACACAACCTTGTCATGCGCTTGGCTGCTGAGAAAATCAAAACAGAAGGAAAGAGAAGGAAAATTTCATGTCTTGAAGTTCTTTCTTTCATTTTCTTAGTAGCCAAACAGGAATGTACAGGTAGGAGATGAAACAGGGCTTTAAATTCTGCTTCAGTATTTCTGAGAATGCCCATGTCCATATTTTGCCCTAAATTTTGCAAATTTTTAGAATATATGTTGTAATTTGTCACAAATTGTTGAAAGAAAAAGTTTTTATTCTGAATTTATAGTAAAAGTTTCTTAGTCTACGAGGATAGTGCTGCAATGTACACATAAATACACACACAAATATGAATATATAGTGAAAGTTTATATTTTTCTTTAGTTTAAATTTCATTTTTTAGCATAAGTATTGAAAGAATTTGTTTCCGTTTTGTAGCTTGTTATGTGAATCTCAGTTTAATTAGTGGTGCAAAAATGAATGTTAATGGACATATGGAAATGCATTACCTGGACACCGGCTATCCTTACCAGCCTACTGAAGGCTTCATGGGTTTCTTTGACGGTCTTGCTAATGTACCGATGAATTATGGTCACACCATCCCGATGCATGATCAGGCAAGTTAGCTTTTTCCATTTTTGATGTGTTCTTTTGTTGTGAGAGTTATTCTGCTATGACATGTTTTGCGCCGCCTCATAAGGTTTGCTGCCTCGTAAGATTGTTTTAGATCCATCTTGCTTGTAAATTTGGAAAGCTGGTGTTTGTTCAGATGCATTTGCTTTCGTCTTTTGTCTGGTATTCATGAGAGTTTGGAAAGATCTGGGGAAGCTGAAATGTATCGATGCCTTTACTGAGTGTTAATTTAGAGTTTTCGTTACAAATTTTCTGAACTATACAGTAAATTTTGATTTTAGTTGGATTCAAGATATTGTCATATCGTTTACAGTTAGCATTTTTGCTGAGTGAAATACTGTGTTATTTTGATGAACTCAAATTTTAGTTTTTGCTGAAATGCTAATCTTTATATGCTGTTTGTCCAGGAAACTGCATACTGGTCAATGAACATGAGTTCATACAAGTTTTTACCATCTGGTCCGGGGAGTACTTCTTATTACGGTACATATGAGGTAAATGATCATTTACCAAGAATGGACGTCAGCAGGAGGTCTTGGGAATACCCTACAGTGACAAATCCAGAAGAGCCTGCAACCTCCGACTCACAGCCAGAAGAGGACGCTGTCATGGAAGCTCAAGCTGTGCCTGAAGAATGTTAGTCAGAAACTTCTACTTATTTGTATTCCTACACTGAAAATTGTTTTGATTGATCACACTTTGATTAGACTGCATGCCAAATGTTTTAATTTATTAAGTTTCCCTTATTGTCATGCTTTGCTTCTTGTGCTAGGAATTTGAAATCAAATTTCAGTTCAATTCAGTTTTCTGTGTGACTACTTATCTGGTGGAATCAAAGATTATGCTACTGGCCAATTGGAGTTATCAAAGACCATTTTTCCTTGACATTTCGTATTTTCATTACGTTTTAAAACCCACAATACCATTTTGTTGCAATTGATTTCTGATGGTGCTATGATGCCATAATGTGATTTGATTTTTCTTATAACCTTGATACTTCACTCATGTTTTGTGAAACTGACGTTTAACCGGTTGATTAAACAATATCTCTAACCATAAAGAATTTCTTTTGCTTTTTAAGGTATTCAGAATCAGCAAAATACAAATACTTCCGAGGTATGGATCCTGCTTTGTGGTTTGTGCAATTGCATGTTTTTCCTTCTGCTGGATTATTTGGTATTTAGATGCATATTTACTCTGCATTATTAAGCCTACTAATTTGTTTTGGAAAAATGAACTTAACTATTTCGAACTTGAACTCCTGCACAGCAGGTTGCATGGCAAGAGGACATTGATCCTGATAACATGACCTATGAGGTTCGTTATGTATACCTTATTCTATTATCCTGCATTGTTACTGTCCCATGGGTTTTTCAGACGAAGCAAATCTTGTTGGAAGTAGAAATTCTTTACCATTTTGTTCCCACAAGGGACTTATTAAGCATTAACACAAACCTGGGCAGTTGCACGTCCACACATAACTCTTTGAAGTTAGTAGGGTTTAGGGTTTAGCTTCAATATTGGTTTAACTTCTTTATACCCGGCCCAAATTAAGAATATGAGACATATTGAACAACAACAACAAAGCCTTGTCCCACTAAGTGGGGCTGGATGTGTGAATCGTAGAATACCATTGCAATCCGTTTTACGCCAAGTCTTTTGTTAGCTGCAAGTACTCCATGCCTTTTCTTAAAGTCTCTTTCCAAGTCTTCTTAGGTCTTCCTCTACCTCTTTTTCCTTGAGCCTTTGTCTCATAATTGCAATTAGCCATATTTGCTGTATAGATTGGGGTACTTAAGGCAAGTGGTTTCACTGATCTTGTGCATTGACTTCTCTTTGTTTTGTTATTTATATTGGTATGACACATCTAGTACAAACTATAGGATTTTCCAATTTTTCATGAATGATATTGAAATGTTTTATTTTATGTATTGCCTCTAGGAATTACTTGACTTGGGTGAGGCAGTTGGCACTCAAAGCCGAGGTCTTTCTGACGAACTTATTAGTTTGCTTCCATCATCAAAGTACAAGTGTGGAAACTTCTTTTTAAGAAAAAAATCCGGAGAGAGGTAACATTCTGACTCATGGACAGTTGATAATGAGAATTTATCTGCCTGAAACACTAAACCTGTTTTCCAACCTTATCTTTTCCTTATCTCAGAAGTAAATGTGATGGCCTCTCGTTTCATTTGTAATTCTCTAGACAATCTGGATATTTGTCTGGTATTATGCTAAATATTGTAGGCTCCTAATGAGAAAACTTTGTCATACTAACGCAAATAATCTTGTCATAAACACTTAACCTATCAGAAATGAGAAATTTTTCCTGCTTCAACTCTATCATCATCTACAAAGCACTTGAGACGCCAACCTCATTATATAGCAACTGAAAATGTGATTTCTCGAGAAGAGTTGTCTTAGAAACGTCTAAGATGAACTTTAATCCTTTAAAAGATGTAAAATATCTGGTGATGCTTTTGATTTTTTTTACTGTCTTCACAATGATTTCCCAAAAAATAAAATTATTAGCATATAATTGCTCTGATAAAATGGGCAACTTCGTGGCGCACCCTTTATTTGCTGATGATTTGTTCAGTTGGTTTGTGTTGTAGAAGTTATCAAAAGAACACTTCTTTTCCCATTCTTTTATCTGTTTCCAGAAAACTTGTTGGAGGATTCTCCTTTGACCAGAAAAAAGAAGAAGACTCCTCTTTTTCTTTTGATCTTTTGGAATTTGCCCTTGATGCGAACTTTTTCCACGAGCAGGTGTGTGATTTGCCAGATGCAGTATAAAAGAGGAGATCGACAAATCACATTGCCATGCAAACATGTCTACCATAGCGAATGCATCAGCAAATGGCTCGGTATCAACAAGGTAGGCCAACGCCCTAAAATCATGGATCTCAGAATTCATTATATCACTATTTTCTTTCTTCCATTTGATGATCCATCCCGCTAACTCACTCTCATTTCCGTTTCTATATTTGTTTAGGTATGCCCAGTTTGCAACCTCGAGGTTTTCGGTGAGGAGTCAAGGCACTAGAGCATCAATTTCGTTTCCTAGCTGAAGCTGAAATTTTATCTTCCTTCCCTTTCATATAGTTTGGTTATTTTTTCTTTGCCTATACATAAAGTAGTTGAAGACTATGGTAAGACTGTGGTCCTCCCCCTTTATCTCTTTCGTTTAACACGCTCCGGTGAAGTAGTAGAGAAAACAAACCCTATAATTCAACCTCCTGTAAGTGAATATGAGATTCAAATAAGAGATAAATTACCTGACAAATTTATATTGTGCGTAAAATCACTGATTTGCGTCGAAGCTAGAGGTTTAGTTTATTTGAGCTTTGTGTTATTGAAAATGTTGTTATATCAGATTCATGTCAATTTATTTAGTTAATTTTGTAGTTTTGTATGATTGATTGAAGACTTGAGGAGATTGAGGTGGATCAGATCTTATTTGGGTTCGGTGAAGTTGATGATTTGGTACTGATTGGACCTATATTAAACTTCATTTGGTACTCATTGGATCTATTTACATCACACGAAACAAAAATTCACTTGTCCAAACAACATAATGAATTCCTTATTTTACAAGAAGCTTTAGCATGTGAAAAGTGCCAACCATTTGCTATGGAAGAGAGAGAGAGAAGAAAGTTACTGACATTCTAAAAATTTCGTTATTTTGAGATTCTGTGGTACAAGCCTACAACCAAGGATTTAAGTTTCGATTTTGTTGATGTATCGATAGTCCAAATTTAGAAAAATATCGAGTGAAAATATAGGTTTAAAATATAAAATAATGAATATATTAAAAAAATATATAATATAAAATCATGGAAGATTGCTCAAAAACATAAAGTTAAGTTTGAAATTTCTACACCAGTAAGAATTTTGAATTTGAATTATATTGTATAAAATACATTTTCTATATTTCTATTCCTTGTTGTTTGTACTTTATAACATACATGAAACCTTGATAGTATGATTCAAGTTTTTTTAATTAAACAATGCAAACACATGCATGGTAGTTGAGACAATTGTTTTATGAAGAGAACTTGGCTGCTGAAAAATCAGCAGCAACTCCTGCTATTGACCAATCACAAATGGGTACATGTCCAAGTAATTGATTTTTTAATCACAGATTGGAGTCGTGTCCATTTGTAATTTGCTAGTAGCATGAGCTGTTGATTTTTTCAGCAGCCAAGTTCTGTCTTTGTTTTATTGTCTTTCAATTTTAAATTACACTATTCAGATATTGACTAGCAACTATAAAAAATCTTATGATTGAAATTGCACATTTTCACAAATTTTTTGTTGAAATATCTTTAAATTTCTCAAATTTGTCTAAGATTGGACCAAACTATCAAAATTCTTGATATTACTGAAATATCCCTGAAGTTTCTAAGATATCCTGTATAGATATTGCTTCACCCATATTGATTATGGACAACCCTATTTTACAGATGTATTGAGATATATTTTGGTAATATCAAGGATATTTTAATCTATGGTAGCACACGTAGATGCAAATTCTGTCAATTGTTGGTTTGACAAAATCACACCTACAAAACAAAAATCACCGTTAGCTTAATTGACGAACATCCGAGAATAAGGGGAAGGGTGTCTGCCAAAGGGCATTTGATGCCTAAGTCAAGAGTAGTTTGACAAAAACTAGAACATGAGAATTTTGAGTAATAAGGGGCCATTACCAATTTCCTTATTTGACTTGGTTATTTATAGAAAGGACTCATCACAAGCAGCTAGGAGGAGAGGTTGTAGTTCATGCTTGGCAGATCGCTATGTTTTGCGAGCGTGGTGAAGACCAATCTCCGTAGGTAGCTACGGGAAGTCCCTGATGGGAGGCCTCTAGCAGGAAGTGGCGCCAGAGGATGCGACACCTAAGGGAGAATTCGAAGAGTGGACCCATGCCTCATTGAACCGGAAAAGACATGGTAGCACGAATGACATATCATGGGCCTTAAGGACACCTTGATATGTACGTGGGCCTGAATGCCATCGACCCACAAAGGCATGCATATGTTTAGCCTTTTAAGATCAAGTGTGGTATGCTCACAATTCACGTGTCGTTTTTTTATTTGATGTGCTTAATTTATATGTCATCGTAATTATCTAATTTAGTATGATGCCTTTTTTTCCACAAATCTTAAAAATCACATGATTGTCATCCAAAAGCCACGTGTACCTCCGAAGCCCAGATCCAAGAATGGGAAATCCTACTAAATAAGCCACGACCCCAACGCTTAATTCTTGACAAGGAAAAAAAGACCCCAATACTTAATTAATTAATTAATCTCCAACGGTCGAAAATTTGGTAAAACCCCACCGACGCCACCAACGTTCGCTCTATCTCCCGCAACGGTTACTTCTTCTTCTTCCACTGTCCACCTCTTCAGCTCCAAAACCCAACAAAACCCCCCAATCTCTCTGTCTTCCTCTCTCTCTTGCAGTGGTTGTTGTACAGCTCGCTTTCTTTCTGGGTTTTTGTCTGTGAGAGTTATGGAACCGGCAAAAATCGATTGGAAAAGTTTGGAGTGGAGATTCACAGAGGACAAATACTACGAGCAAATAAACGCCCCCAAGTGGTTCGATTTCTTGAACCCCAATGACAACTCCGTCGACGATCAGACCTGGTTCTGCCGCCCCGGTACCTTAATCCTTCACAAATTATACTTCAACCCCTTCTCTTTTTCTTTTTTAGAATTTTGACTCACTCATGATTTGCTTGGATTTTTTTTTTTTTTTTTGTAAATTGCAGAATGCAAGCATCCGAAGACGGCTGAAGATTTTCTCAAGTCATCACCTCCCAAGGTTTCTTCTTTTCCAGCCTTTCTTTCTTTTTGGTTGGTTTTGTGATGAGGGTTTTGTTTATTTGATATTTTTTTCTTGTTAATCTGCTTGGTTGCTAAGAAATGTGATGGGAAAGATTGAAAATTGAAGATTTCGATTTTCCAGCCTAAACCCTTTTTGTATTCGGGATAAGATCTTATCTTCGTTTTCGTCTTTATTTTCCTTGTGTTTCGGAGTTACCCCAGCATAGATTTTGTATACTTCTCTTTACTTTTACTCTTTCTAGAGTTTCTAAATTCTAATTTCTTTGTTTGTTGATTTGGGAAAGGTTCCGAGATCAGCTGTTGTTTCTGAAGTTTCTCCACTTGGTGATAAAATCCAGAGGTAACAAGAAAAACCCATGAATCCTTTTCTTTCACAGTACAGTTTTAATTCAAATTCGGCACGATTTAACCTTTTTTTTTTTGCTGATTCAGAGATGTGAGGTTAAAGAGAAGGGGATTGAAGCAATCTTCGATTTACCCGACTAATAACTCAAGATTCAAGGAAGATGGTGAAAATCAGAACCCCAATTTATCAACCCCTCCAATGAACCAAGCTAAGGCCATGAAGGCAACAATCAAATCAAGCACAGAGAAGAAGCAACCAATTGAGAGCACACCGCCAAACAATGAGGTGCTTCCGAAGCTGAGAAGCACGCTGTCTGCAACGAATTTATTTGCGGGGAGGGACATTCTGAATCAGATTACAGACTTCTGTTCTGAATTGAAGAGAATGGCGATGAGAGCGAGGGAGAGAGAGGATGTGGAGAATTCGGATGTGAGGAAAAGCCCAGCGGGTTTGAAGGAAGAGGTAGTGAAGAATGAGGAGTGTAACAGTGAGGTTTTAAGGGAGTTGAAAGGGAGGGAAACAGAGAGAATGCCACTGCTTGAGGTGGGTAATGGAAAAACTGAGAGGCAAACTGAGACAACTCCATTGCTGGAGCTTAATATAGTGAAAAATGAGAGGCAAGCGGAGAGAACGCCATTGCATGGGGTAAGCAAAACAAACGCTGAAGGAATGGAGGGGAGCAATACCGAGGAGAAGCCGACGAGGAAGAAGTAAGTTTGTTCTTTTTCTCTATGTATTTGTGTGTAATGAAAGCCTCTATATTTGTGCACACTTGTACGCCTTGTTCTGTATGTAAATGTGTGTTTGCATCTGTGTTTTTTGGCATGATCATTTTCTTTTTCACTTGTTATGGTAAAAACATACATGTGATGCAGTTAAAATAATGATCATATGGTTAACTTTTGATGACCACCTTCTGCAGAAGAGATGATGAGACAGAGAACGTCCCCATTCCCTCTAAGTTTAGCGAATGTCAAGCGCAAAGGAGGCGAGAGCTTGTTGCAAATCCGCACCAACCCTCCCTCTCCTCAATGCTTTTCTGCCACAAGGCCCTCCAGCAACATCACACCTTCAAAAGCTTCCAAGTCTAAGCTGATGGTATGTACCTAGCTGCGTCCCTTCTCCTTCTCCTTCTTCATATTGTATTCGTTTGCTTAATCACAGGGTGAAAGAAGAATTGCATGAAGAACTAAAACTATGGTCTTGGTTCTTTCCCTGCCGACGATATCGAAAAGTCGGTAGGGAAGGAAATATAAGCTAGCTCTTTGGTCCAGTCAAGTCAATCTTTAACTTGATTGAGATATTCGAGTCTTTCTTGCAACTCAAGCTTGTTAGTGCTAAAACTTTGGTCCAGTCAAGAAGAATTTCAGTCACCAATTTGCTTGAGATTTACAAATAGACATTTCATCCCATCAGTGTTACGGTGCTATCATTCCACAAACTCTAAACCATTTTTTATTTGACTCAATTTGCTGCCCCAAACTAAGATCACCTCGTATATCTAATATTTATCCAAGTTATGTCATTTTTCTGATTGACTTGTAACTGAATGATGATCAGGAACGGGGAATCCTTGGAGAGGAAGAGCAGAATAAAAAGGTGGTGAGCAAGGAGGATTCCACAGAGAAAGGTAAACCTGCCTGTATAGTCGATGGAAGAGAAGCAAGAGCGTTGGACGTTTTCTGGTTTTTAAAACCTTGCACAACACTTTCCAGCTAAAACATTGAGCAACAAATTACATCCATTCTTTCATTCTTTCGATTCTTTTTCTTAGTTCTTTGTTACCGTTCGTTAATTGTTTCGCCCTTGTGGTCTACAGTTTTAATTTGCTTCAGACAATTGTAGCTTTGCTAAATAAAACTGTAATGTACCGAGCACACCCACACAATAATTGTACTGTGCTCAGCTCCCATGAATAAGCTTTCGATATTCAGCATTGAGTTTCATGCACCGTAAGCCTTTTGGAATGACCGTGTTTTGGTTTTTCTCTTCTTCTGGTGAAGGGCCAAATTATGAGTTCCATGTAGTTTGGCGAAGTTCCACTTTTGAACATGTAGTTTCAAGTTTCAAGTTTCCAAATTTTCTTTATTTCTAGAGTCTATCTGCCATATAACATAGACCTATTTTGATGGTCCGACGTCCAACGATACTATTATTCTAAGGAAAACTAACGAAAAATCTTCAAAAACTTTAATTTTAATGAAAATTGACAAATAAATGTGTCAATGAATAGTATCATAAAAAGATAAAAATGAACAGTACCGAAAATGTTTCTTTAAAGCTCCCATTATTCTATGCCATAAGAGTAAAAGGTAAACCCGTCACATCTAATAGTTTAAAGAGTTGACGTACACACATTATGGTATACAGTTTCACATGATAAATGCTTCTAAAATCATAGGCGTCACTTGTTAAGGTTCCCTTTCGTTTTTCTTAGGTGTGGTACCAACTTCAGATGTCAACAATGAACCAACAATGACAAACCGCCAAACCTTCTCAAGAATCTCAACCTAATCCACATAGAGATCAAAAACCCACCTCACATCCCATATTTTTTTGTTCTTTTTCCGCCTTGGCTACAAAGCCCACAATTGGAGGCTCCAAGAAAAAACATTAATTTTGTACTTTTCCGCCGTATTTAATCAATTACAAACAGATTCGAACTTGAGATTTCTTTTACGATTTTATTTCGAATGTACACAACTAAGAGTAAAAAGATTCAAACTTGAGACATTTTATGATCTTCAAAGATTGAATCTCATTAATATGCTAACCAATACAGTTTGTATCTTAGACAACTCTCTCACTATCAACGTGTTATTCATTCTCACAGTTTTGTTCTTTTGGTCAAACTGGGGCCAAAAGACCCAAGAAAAACAACTAACTATAGAACACTCTTCCAGAAAAGTACTATTAACAAAACGGTCTGCGGAAGCCCAACAACATCCTCAAAGATCAACCTATCCACAAGAGGAGAGGCTCATAAAAAACATGAAGACCAATGTCAAATTCATGGCCTAGTTCTGCCATAACATCATCCACTCTATTCTTCTCACGATAAACATGTGAAAACGAACAAATCCAATCCCTCCGCAATAGCTCTTGGCAAGCAGTAATGAGATGAGCAAGAGGGTGAAGTAAGGAATTAAAATCCATTACTAAAGTAACCGCCACAACAGAGTCCATTTCAACTAGCACTTATTTATAACAATCTTCAAGCAAGAGAGTGGCCATGAAAAAGACCCCATAACTCAGCATTAAGCACACTCCCCACACAAATATTTATAATGTAACGAGCAATCGACTCACCTGAAGCAGCACGTAAAATGCCATTAGCACAAGAGCACCCCTTGCCACTCTTTGTACTTCCATCCACTTTCGACTTAGCATAATTAGGGGGAGGAGGATCACAGGCTAAAAAATCTTATGCCTCACAGGCTTTAGCATCAAAATTTTGCACCTCAAACCACTCTTTAACAGCTTTAAAAATAAGGAAAACTAATGAAAATGACTTGAAAACTTTTAGTTTTAACAATAAGGACAAAATAAAAGGTAAAGTGAATTGTACCAGGATTGACTTTTTAGTGTAAAAATATGGTTTTTCGTTAAAATGAATAGTACTGGGAGCTTTTCGTTAAAGTTCTCTAAAAAATAAGAATCTAAGGTTCACTAGGGAAAACAAAACCGTGCGTATCTTAGACAATTCTCTAACTATCAATATGTTACACATTCTAATAGTTAAAGCCACAAAGTTCACTCTTTGTTCCTTTGTTCTTATATTATCATCCTATAGTTTCCGGAAATTTAGGGCTCAACTTTGAATACTTATCCTTAAAGACATCATGAATCATGACATATGACATTCTTGACCATCCAACTCTAGAAGCAGCCGGCTTATAGCTTGAGCTGCCAAGATCATTGATCCTGAACTTTGAACCTCAAAAGTCCTGTGTTCGATTCCCCTCGATTTCAGTTGTATAACAAAAAAAAAAAAATAATAATATCCAACTCTAAGTAACTTAAAAAGCTATGAAGTTCATAACCATAGTTTTAACTCAAATCATGGCTATTAACTACCTAAGAGTCTAGCTGCCCATGAAAACCCAGAATCTAAAATCCAGATTGTATATACCATGTATATCTAACAATTGAAGGACTTACATGACACGGGCACTGCAACTGTCCAATTGTAAAAGAACATATTTAGTTTTTGTTCACATATGTTGGTAGACACAAGAAACTGCTACAATAGCGGTATATCAATACCATATAAGTTGCTCTAAAATATGAGAGATGAAAAAAAAAGAAAACAGAGAAAAAGAACATCTCTGCAATATGCCATGAAAATATTCTCATGAAATGATGAAATTACAAGACAGAATTTTACAACATAAACAAAAAATCCGGCCGATAAAACACCAACATCACCACCAAAATCAAACTCTCCATAACTCACACCTTATTTACCACAAAAAGGAAAAACCAAAAACCAAAATCTTAAACATGTTTCAGAAGTGAAGCTGGGTGATATGCAGTTGACTACATGTTACCAACTGAAATCAAAATCTCTATATATATGTGTGTGTGTGTGTGTGTGTCTACCTTGTGGTTCTGCTGCAAAGTAAGCAATCCAAGATCCTAAACCAAAGATGTCGGACACGTGGGTAGACCCTATTGGTGTAAGCTCTTGATTCGGAGAAGAGTTCCTCCATGGTCTCCACTAAGGGGTTTAGGCTTCTGATTGGAGGCACGTAGAGAGTGAGAGGCACTGCAGAGAAGGCCACTGTGAAGAACAACTGCAATAGCATCTCTATCTATCAATTCAAATCAAAACCCACAAAAATATGATCTCAAAGATTGGATTTTGATTGAAACCCAATTGAGTTTTGAGGATTGTGATGCAGAAAAGAAGAGGGTTTTGGAGAGAATGTTTCTCGAAATTGGAAGAAATAGCTGGAGAGTGGGTGGAGAGAGAGAGAAAATGGATAACAGATGGATTTTTTGGGGAAAGGAAGAATTGGAAAATGTAAAATGTCTGAATCTGACTGGTAGTTGCGTGGGGCTGACTAACTTTGATAAGAGAAATTTTTAGTTACGAAGGAATACGGATGATACATCAAGTGTTTTTATGTAAGTGGTGAAAATTTTTCATTTTTAAGTTATTAATCTTTTAATACACATCACACACAATTTATATAAAAACACGTAATGTAACATATCGTGTGACGATCACATTGAAAAATCTTTCTTTTGTGTTGGGGGATTTTGATGTTTGGCAGATCGGTGTCGGTGTGCAGCCCCTTATTATTCGATTGGGTCAGGTCGAGAAAGGATTAAGCCATGACCGAGTGCGCGTAATCGTTGGCTTTTCTTCTTCCTTTATCTTTTCTCTCACAGGATAAGGCAATTTTTTATTTTTTGGCTTCATTTCTCATGATACCCACGTTGACAAGCATAATATGAATTTGCTTATTAAATAATTTTTCGCCCCTTTAATATGTTGTTGGTATCATTAAATACTGTTTTCAGATAATTATTTTGTCGTCGCAATATGAAAATAAAATTTTAATATTGGAGTCCTAATGTAAAGCATCAAGTTTTATTTAGACGAAAGCTGTGCACGGCGCACGCAAAATTTCTAGGTAGGAAATTTCTCGAGCACTTGGTTGTGTGGATGGCAAGAAGACTTATATTTCTTAGTTTCAATAAGAATCCTTATGAGTATTGTTTCTATCTATTATTATCCAAAGACAATCAAATTATTAATGACTAGATGAACTAAGAAATAACCCTCATGTGCAAAATGTGAGATTCCTTTGTCGTTACAAGTCTTCGTATTGACATATATCAAAGAAGTCTATCGAGTGTTGTCGACATCCATATAAAATGTTGTTCATTTGTCTTACAACTGAAATGCTGTGGAGATATTTCCAAAAAACGTTTCATTAAACAGTTGATGAACCCAATAAAAAATCCGTATGTCTATTAGACATTCGAAGCGTCCCAAAAATCTTCACAATCGTTTGTTTTTTTTGTTGGAGGAAAAAATCTTCACAATCGTTACACACATTTACAAAGAGCAAATCACAGGGAATAAAAACGTAATTAACCCATATTGATTCCCTTAGTCCACGTGTTACGCTGCCGTGTTAGTAGCACACAAAATCAGTACCACTCGGTAGCAATACAATGTTGCGTTCTCGCCTGGATGGCTAATTACCATTTACTACCCCTCCCTTCTCTCTCTAGTTTTCATTTTTCGAAGCCGGTGTTTGGCTAAGCAGCGGAAAGTGAAGACGACTGCGCGAGAGAGAATCACACAGAAACAACAAAAAAAAATTAGGGTTTATTAACAATGGCATTTGCTTCTCGAATCCGATCGAGCCTGCCTCTCGTCACCAAGATTCTCAAATCGGATTCAGTCTCCGCCGCCGCCAACGGATCCATCGCCCACCGCTCGGTGCTTTGCCCTGCTTTCATCAATTCTGAGGTAATGAGATTTCAAATTTCGCAGAAATACATAGAACGGGTCCTCGTTTTGAGTGTCTGATCTAATTTGCTTGCTTTCTCCGTTTCATTTTTCCCCAAAAGATAGGATTTTTAGTGATTAATTAATGAATTTTGTATTTCGTATTTTGTTTCTAGATAATGAAAAATGTGTGTCACTGGGACAAAGAGTTTGATTAGGATCGTTAGAAATTTTAGGGATTAAAATTTGATTAATTTGTTGCTTTCACATTGTTTTCAACCAAACACAGCTTTAGCAGTATATACAGTGTGTATCTGTGCGTGCGTTTTTCTTAAATATGGGTTTGAGGAATAAGCTTTAGGAGGCCGTTATTTTAAGTTTAGTCGAATTTTCAGAATGTGGATTAATTGTTTCGTATTTTGTATTTGTAGCCATCCAGGAACTTTTCTACTGCGCAAGGGAAGAAGGAAGTGAAGGTTAAGGTAATTGAACTCGTTGGTTTTCGACATTTTCTAGAATTATATGTGCTCAGCTCATTATTTTTATTTAAAAGACAGATTTTCATGGCAAACACATATTATTGTGCATGGGCTTGGAAACTTCACGCATTTTTTTGATTTTTCAGTTCTTTTCATGAAGTATGTTATATTATGGTACGCGTATTGCATAATTAACAAAATGGATTAGGATGTCACTTATTTAGTTATAACGGGGCATTGAAAAAAAAGTGCACATTTTCTGTTACAAAGTATGTTAAGATTTATATAATCATAGCTAAAATTATGTGAAGTGTCAGTAAAATAGAACATAAACTGATGTATGTGCTTACTGCGTCCGAATTTGCTTATACTGATTAGGTCTGTATTGATTTTTTCTGCCATGGTATGCCAGGTGCCTCTGGTGTTGTTTGGGGGTTCTGGGAACTATGCCTCTGCTTTGTACATTGCTGCAGTAAAAGCTAATACCTTGGAAAAGGTTGAGTCTGAGATTTTTGCCATTGTTGAGGCTATGAAGAAAAGTCCTACCTTTTCTCAGTTCACAAAGGATTTGTCAGTGCCAGCAGATACTAGAGTGAAGGCAATCAATGAAATTACTGCTGAAGCTAAATTTTCAGAAATTACAAAGAACTTTTTGGGTATGATTATTGCCTCTTTCTAGTAAAAAATTGTGATGTATTCTTATTATTTTTCCTTTTCTTTGTACTCTGATATCAGCAGTGATGAATTATACTTGCTCTGAAAATTTCATATATCTGTGTGCTGTTTTGTGAAAAGTACATCACTGTATGACCGTTCAAACAAATATGACCACCTTTTGACCATGGGTTGTGTGTATTTTAATTGGGATATGCCAAAAGAAAGGGAAAGTATATTCACATGTCTATGTGTTTTCCAAAAGAAACACTATAAGGTGTCCTTGGTGTCAATTGTCAAATATGCTCAGAATTCATAACGTGTATCTTTTAAGGCGCTTAGATGCGCTGTTTTGCAAGAGTTGTAAAGCCCATAAGGTCGAACATCTGGTTTGGCCTGGATTCTTCAGAAATTTAAGAAAGAGCATCAAACCAAGCACAAGAAAAGTCAGATGTGCTCCCTCCCAATAGAAAGTTAAAAACAATATAGCCTAATCCCATATCATTATCTTCTTTAGGCAGCCTCAAATTCAAAATTTAGGCAGTTCTAAACATCAAAAACTCTACTGCTTTGCATTTTCTTTTCGTTGTTCGTTTGTGTGGGCAATTTTTTATTTTACTTTTTTTTTTGTCTGAAGTATTTGGTCGAACTTATGTGAAAGAACCTAACAGAGAAAAATGATATTTACAATCACCAACGGAGTAGGTTATTTTCAGTCATGTATGTATTATAAATATATGATGGATGTGTTAGCAGCTGTAAAAGGATTTGGGTTCAGATTTTGATTTTTGTAAATTGTTCCTACTTGAGAGGTCTTGGCTGTAAAAGGATCTATATACATGTATACACTTTTATTTATTTATGCATCTATGTTTTTTTTTTTTTTTTTAGTTGTCTTGGCTCAGAATGGGAGGTTAAGGAACCTTGAAACCATATCAAAGAGATTTGCGGAGTTGACCATGGCACATAAGGGAGAAGTGAAAGCTATTGTCACATCTGTCATTGTAAGTTGTAGTCCATAAATGGTAAATTTATTTTTCTAATGAGCATTACTTAGACTTCCTAAACAAGGCCCTACTGCAAAGGAAGAGGGATGGTTACTTGGGTAAGTGATATGATTGCTTGAGTTGGTCAGTGGTGCATGTAATTGTTAACTGTAAGTGATCTATATTATAGACTGATATTTGGTTTAATAAACTGTTTATGAAATATTTGGAAGAAGCAAAGATAGCAATTTGTATCCCTAAAGAATGCTCAACAAGACCTGTAAATAAAAAAGTTAATTACAAAACTATGACTGTTAGGCTCTAGTGAATGGTTATTCTCGAGTATAAAAGTAGGCTGCCTGCTTTGGAGTGAATATTAAAACAAATTGATCAATAGCTATTTAAAGAAATGGGGTGTGCACAACTATGCTGGCCTGTTCAGGGGCCCTGGACCTTTTGGGGCCAGTTGTTATACGTTTACTTACTTTGTAGCTCATTTTTGTTTCGCTTTTATTTGACTTTGAGGGGCTATTATTTCCCTTGTTATGTCTTTGGGCGACGGAGGTACCACTTACGCTGTTTTTGCCTGAGTAGTTACCCTTTTGATGATTTGTGCTTTTTTGGGCAACAAGGGAACCTAATAGAATGATTACTATGAGAAGTGTATGTGTTTGATTTATGTTCTGTTTTTGTACTGTATTTTGAAGTGTCATTTGTCATGGCATGATTAATCCCAGTTACAACTCTTACTTGGATACGTAACTAAAATTAAGGTGCTCCTTTTGGTATAATTTTCATGGAAAGGAAATTTAATGGACTAAAAAATACAGGACGATGAATTGTATATTTTATTTCATATTTTCCTGTCTAATTGTTATTCTGTGATCAGCCCCTTCCCGCCGAAGAGGAGAAAGAATTGAAGGACACACTGCAGGAATTAATTGAACAGGGGAAGAAGGTCATTCTTGAACAAAAGGTATGTACTGGTTGTTCCGTCTGCTCTTCAATTCACAAATCTTTATACATTGGATGGAAATCTGATTCTCTGTTTCACATGCAGATTGATCCTAGTATTTTGGGTGGTCTCGTGATAGAGTTTGATAAAAAGGTGTTTGACATGTCGATTAAGACTAGGGCACGCCAGATGGAGAGGTATTTGCGGGAACCTGTAAACTTTGACAACCTCTAAAAGGTGTTTGAAGACTGAGTCTGCGATCTCCGCCCTTTTTCCTGTGTTCGTTATGGTCAAAATTCTATGAAGGAAAAGAAAGATTTGTTTTATTTTGTTGCGCGGACCTTGTTTAAGAAGATGGAAAGCAACTTGATCGGGATGCCATCTATTTGCAAATAAAAGCTTCATTTTTCGGATGTGTTGTGGGAGAACCGAGGGACTTCCCATTCTCTCTGATTTGATTCCTTTTCACTTTGAAGTTTCAGCTTGTTCCAGTTCTGCTCAATTGCTCCACAAGTTTTATATCGATATTTTTGATTCGTGACACTCAATTTCAGGCGCATTAGGGTGGCTTCTATACTTGCCATCGCCAAGGCTCGAATCAAATGTTCGATCTTCATCGCTTTGAAATGAGGAGGGTAGGCTGCTTGGGTAGTTCGATGACTTGGCCCTAATGTATATGTAGTTTTGCCTGTCTAATCCTCTGTTGCCTCGTTTCGATTGCGTGAAGAGGGTTTGTACGTCTTTTAATAGGTAATGCCACAACAATATGTTCTGGAACAATAAATCAAGTGCGCATAGAATTCAAAGCTGGTGGACATTACGGCTAAAGGCTTTTGCCCAAGGAGTTGGGGTTTAGTTAGAACTAGAAGTGCAATTTAGGTTGGGTCAACCTGAATTCATCTATGCTTTACTTGATTTCAAACTCGATCAGGTGGATTAGAATAAAGTAAAAACTTGTCCAAACCCAACCTAATCTCAACTCGGTCATTTATTGGGTTGAATTGGGTGGATGCCTTATCCCTATAATAATTTATTATTATTATTATTTATTAAATAGAGAAAAAAAGGTGCAAAAAAAAAGCGGGAGGGCAATAACCTTACCCCTCCTGTAAATAGAGCTTGTTCAGCTGCTACAGTCTAAGAGACCATAACAATAAAAATACATGTAGAGAAAAACTGAGAAGCACAAGCTAAAGTCAGTGAAAAAGAAGAAAAAGGAAAACCAAACCTTTTTTGCCCCACACAAAGAAAACAAATCATCAAGGACCAAACTAGCAAAACCAAAAATTAGGTCGTGAAGAAAGGTTATAAATGTAAGCAGAAGCCAAACAAGGAGGACAAGAATCTAATATAAACTCTTAGAATGATCCACACTGAAATTAGCCAAATTATAAGCAACTGCATCACCCTCTCTGAAAATATGAGAGACTTGAACGTGCATGTGGGAGAGGAGCAAAGGCAATTAATCCAACGAACACGCAGACGCAAAAGACTACTAAAGAAGAATCACATTCAATCCACAAAAAATTCCAACCATTTTCCCAAGCTTAATCCACGGCACGAATAACCGCATGCAATTCCACTTCTAAAAAATAAGCAATTCCGATTGAAGATGCTAAACAGCCTAAACAATTGCCAAAACGATCTCGAAAGTTACCCCCAATCCCCGCCAAACCAGAGGCATCACAAGCCGCACCATTAGTGTTAACTTCACCCATTCCGCTTTATATATAAGCTAGGTACAATTTTTGAGACGACTTTAATTGAAGTATGTCGTTTTATTTGAACAATGAATGATAATGTTGATTTTACGTTTCTTTTGGTTGAAATTTTGATATTATTTTGTAATTTTATTTCAACTTCGTATCTGCCAACCCGCTCGAGTTGCACCTCTATTTATTAATCACACAAAACATGTTGAAGCCGAGATACTGTTCGTTACGGATAGTTTGGCATCACGAGTATTGTTCCTGTCTGTAACTGAGGAACACATCAAAAAATTGATAGTATCTGTCAGTCTCAAAGAGTTTCAGTTTTGGCGCTTCACAAGATTGAAATCTGAGATCATACGTATTCTCCAGCATGCAGGAGAGTTGGAGGATTTAGCTAAATCTGCCTTCAATTGCGTAATTACTGTATAAATCTATATATAATTCGGCTTCGATGATGGTATTAGTGTAACTTACGCGACTATTCATACATTGGTTAGATGTTTTTTTATTTATTTTTTTGCTGGTGTAAATAGCTTCATTGCTTCAATTTACACATAATATGCGGCCAAAACAATTTCCTACATATCAGATCTTGTATGAACTTTTTGCCCTCAACCTTTTTCCCCTAAAAAGTGTGATGATAGAAACTCCACCGTCTATATCTATCTACAAACAAAGTTATAAAGGGTCAAAACCAGTTGTGGGGATCAAACCTGATAAATCTCTCCACCTTTTTCTTTTGCTCATGAGTTTCGTGAGTATCCCCTTTTTCACTTACGATTTGTATCGAAGCACTGCAAGAAATTTGGTCTTTTACAAACTAAGCCAGATTTCGAAGGCAAGATAGATATATTCTCAGTGATACACACACTTTTTGTAAGGTTTAATTTGTAGGACAAGTACAAGGTGTAAGAGTGAATATTATGAATTGATGATGAGGTGAGGTGGTCTTTCTTGTCTTTGTAACCAAGTGAAGTAGTGGAGTAGGGCATGTTTGCTTGGGACAGGCTCAAAAGCATGATATAGATGTATGTGTTGTGTGTGTGTGTGTGTGTATATATGATGGATTCTGCTATCCTTCCTGGGACAGCTGTAGAAAAGATAGAGGACCTTTTGCAAACACTTGAGTAGCTTGAGAGTTTTGCTCCCTGAGTTTTTCCCTGAAAAGAAATATATATTAATGTTTTTTGGTAAACGAACATAGGTAATTGAATTTTCTTGGGATTATCTCTGGAGTTGAACATGACTGCTTATGAATATTCTGTTTTTCCATTTGGCTTGGAAAATGACTGGGAAGTCGCAGCTCTTAGCATGCAGGGACAGGAGGATTAGGTAAGTACACAACATGGGATAGAGAAATCTGTGGGTATATTGTACTTTTGATGGCTACAAATCATGAATGATATATTCCCGCAGTTAAGTTTAACTCTTATTTTCAGGTCTATTTATAATCAGAAATCAGTTAAGGGAAATGATTTGTGCTGGCACTTTTTCATCTGATGCACTCTCGTTTTTTAGCCATTGAATTGAGCAAAGGAGTGTCAGAATAAAGAATTTGTGTGTAGAAGGTGACTAGGTATTCAGTTATGCACATAGTCAACTTGAAAAGATATAATGCGGATTCACAATAAGGCGCCGTTGCCAAACAGTCTAACAAGATTATAGACCACAAGTGTAGGAAACATATTTATTTGCTTAGATAATTATCAGATTGTGAATCTAAACCACACAAATCAAGCAAAGAGCCAATTCGATGGCTTAGTTCATATTTATGGATATAGTTAAAGAAATTTTTTTAGTCAATCGTTACACAAAGGTTGTGCGAATGTTGCAAAACACTGATGGCATGTTCAATCAAAATCCTTTAATTTAACAGTGATAAAACGAGAAAATGTAAGATCGCGAGCTATATCTATATCTTCTGAATCCATCTCTATACTATATGCTGGATCCCTATCACTATTATAGTTGATTAATAAAACACTAGACTTTTTTTCTAACAAATAATTAGTTAAGTCATGCAAAAACAACCCTTATTTTTTTCTTTTTTCTTCATTTGATTTGATTTCTTGTGTATGGTTTTTAAGCTTTCTGTTTTGGTCGTAGGTTTCTAAGGGCTTTAGATGCTAATTAAGGAACTATTAATAATTTTCATTTACTTTGAGTCTGGCCAAGGAAAGTACTTGAACAATTTGTTGTTTATTGCATGCCAGTAGTACTTGGGGTAGTAGATGTATCATGTTCAATTAATTTAATTTGATTTGGTAGCTGCGGAACCTTAACTTCTAATATGAGATTGAGAATGCATAATTTTGACCAAAGAGAGAACAACTGTAATTGATATCCGAAAGTGAGAGTTTGCTTCAAAAGCATGTTTAATTGATATGATTGAGTTATCCTCAATAAGTTTCATGCAACCACTTAAACAATCCATAACCATCACAAATTATGAATTAATTAAAGTACAAATTACAAGTATCAAAGGTGCAACACTTTGCCTAGTGTACAAAGAGTACTCTTGTACTCTCTCTCTCTCTCTCTCTCTCTCTCTCTCTCTCTCTCTCTCTCTCTCTCTCTCTCTCTCTCTCTCTCTCTCGGTCGGCATATAAACTTCAAATTCACGTGTAGGAGGGGAGGGTTTGTGTTCTTTGTCTTTGACTCTTTCTTGTCTTTTTTGATGATTCATTTTTCTTCACTCACAAGGTAATCATGTACCATCTTTTGTATATTAGACATCTACTTTTTTGCTTCCACTTCACATAATAATCTCTCTCTCTCTCTCTCTCTCTCTCTCTCTCTCTCTCTCTCTCTCTCTCTCTCTCTCTCTCTCTCTCTCTCTCTTACACACATACACACACATATGCGAATGGAGCCACGGAGGTCCCCCTCCAATCCGTTTCCCACTCCACCCATCGACCAACAAACATGTAATCTTTCTCTCTCTGTGTAAAATTTTTGATATGCATATTTTAAGCAAACCCCACAACCATCACTATCATCATCACCATTACCACCCCATGAAGCCATCTTATCATCATATATAGCTTTCTTTTAGATCTCCATCCATCAAATTAACCACTTTGAACAACAAAAAGGAAAACCCTAAGAGAACAAGTCTAGCTAGCTTGCAATTACAATGAGAAAGCCAGAGTCTATGGGAAAAGACGATGTCGGCGGAGCGAAAACTATTAGCAAGAAGAAGATGATGATGAACAAGCTTAGGAAGGGGTTATGGTCACCGGAGGAAGATGAGAAGCTGATGAGGTACATGTTAACCAGTGGACAAGGCTGTTGGAGTGACATTGCAAGAAATGCTGGTCTCCAAAGATGCGGAAAGAGTTGTCGTCTTCGTTGGATCAATTACTTGAGGCCTGACCTCAAGCGTGGTGCATTTTCACCCCAAGAGGAAGAGCTTATCATCCATTTCCATTCAATTCTTGGCAATAGGTACACTCTCTCCTTCTCTAAGCCGCAGTGTTTATAATGCACAAATATACATATATGATGATCACCTGTAACTATTCTAAAAATCCCCGTCTAGCGCCGCCTAGGCCCCGCTTAGGCGCTAGGCGGCTGGTCACCTAGACCTGCTGAGACACCCACCTAGACCGCCTAAGCACCTGTGCCTAGCCCGTCCAGACCCGCCTAGGCACCTGCGTAGGTTGCGACTAACTTAGATAGATAACTTTCATTTTGCATTATATGTTTTTCAATAAATTGTAAGAGACTTGTTGAATACTTAGATGAACACATTATATGCTTGTTCTTCATATTTTCATTATG